TTAACAAAACCTATTTTCTTTACTGTCACATCTAATTTCTATTATTATTATAATCAAACTCAATAATAATAGAATTATTTCTATTGGGCTTAATTCTCACACCCCTTAGTACTACATACCACCATATAAAATAGGTCCAACAACTTAATCTTATATTATTCCTAAATTCTAATATTATTATTATTATTATTAATCAACTAATTAATTAATTAATAATAATAATCTAACAACTTATACCAACAATACACAACATCTCACAACTTCAACAAATAATTCAAAAATAATTTAATTAAATAATTAATTAAATTAACGGGCGTTACAAGTAAGGTGTTTAAGTTGTACAAATCACTCTATGGCCTCAAACATGCACCTAGGGCATGGAACAAGAATATTGACTCATACTTAGTCGAATTGGAATTTGTAAAATGCAAGTTTGAGTATAGTGTCTATGTTCAGGTTGTAGCACAAGATATAACAATTATATATTTATATGTCGATGATTTGCAGGTAACTGGAAATAGTTTGGAGAACTTGTCGAAGTTCAAAAAGCTAATGATGAGAGAATTTGAAATGTCGGATCTGAGAAAATTGACTTATTTCCTAGGCATGGAATTTCAAATGTCAAAGCAATGAATGATGCTACATCAAAGGAATCATTTCAAAGAGATACTCAAGAGATTCAGGATGGATGATTCGACTCCAGCATATTTGTATATCTAACCAAATTTGAAGTTGGAGAAGCATGAAGAGGAAGACATAGTTGATGTAACTTTGTTTAAACAAATAGTTGGATCTCTGAGGTATGTGTGCAACAGTCGACCTGATATGGATTTCACATTTGAATTAGTCAGCAGATACATGAGCAAACCAAGGGTGACACATATGAAGGCTGCAAGAAGAATCTTGAGATACTTAAAAGGAATGATAAATTATGGGATTCTATTTTGACGAGACTCTGAAAGCAAAAAGGCTATGGTTACTTGCTACTCAGATGTTGATTGGTATGGAGATAAAGAAGATCAAAGAAGCACAACTGATTATTTCTTTCAAGTCGTTGGTGCCTCAATTTCATGGTACTCGAAAAAATAACTTGTGGTGGCATTGTCATTGTGTGAGGTTGAATATATAACAAGATCATATGATGTGTGTCAAGTAATTTGGATCAGATCTGTGCTGGAAGAGATCGAAGTCGAAGTGAAGAAACCTCTGGTGATGCAGATCGACAATAAGTCAACTATTAATCTTGCGAAAAATTTAGTTTTGCATAAAAGAAGTAAGCATATCGAAGTTAGATTTCACTTCTTAAGGGAGAAGGTAAATTGAGGTTAATTTTAAGTAAGATATTGATTAAGTGAAGCACAGTTGACCTACATTTTCACCAAAGGGTTGAAGATTGACAAATTCCTAAATTTGAGAAAGAAATTAGGAATAGTTTAGATCGACTATGATTAGTGTAGTTTCGACAACTTGAATTATATGAGAGTATGTTGAGATATTAGATATAATCTAAGTTGAGTAATCCAAGCCCAAGCTCAATTAGGATTTGTTAGCCTACTTAGTGTATAAGTTAGGTGTATATAAATAGACACAGTTTATAACTCAGTTTGTACAATTCAATTCAATAATAAAATTCTTATTTTCTCATTCTTTCTCTTTCTCCCCTTACTAAAAGTACCTCATACACTAACACAACATATTAACACCAGTGCAAATAGTTTTTTGAATCATTTTTTTTTTAAATGGCAAAAAAAAAACATAGTGTGTGAAGACAATTACAAAAATGCCAACAATAATGTTGACGATGGCTAGCGAGTTGCTAGGTCACAATTGACCAACATGTGGGAGTTTATTACGTTAATTAAAAGAGAAAATAGATGATACTTACACAATTAACCAATGACGATCATTATTTCCGCCAACTCAGATTAAATTTTTTTAATTAATTATATGACATAGCAGATTAATATATTCATATTAAATAATACGGTAAAACTTTTAAACCTTAATTAAAACTACCATTGTTTATATATAGTTTCTCAAAATGATTTAGAATTGGAACATGTATATCAATTAATATTCAATTTTTTAATAATCAAAATTAACCTGACAAAATTTACTTTCACCACCATTGAATTAAACCCATACATACCATTACTTATTATCATAGGTCTTGATTTTAATTATTTTTAATATATAATCATTAGCGCTGTTCTTTTTTCCCCGGGCAATTTTTATTTATTTAGCTAAAAAATCTGGTAATTTAAACATTGGTTCACGATTTCACATAAAGCATATAAGCTGAATAAATAGCTTACGATTATGCAAAAAACAGTAGCTTATTATTCGTTTTGATTTTGAAGCTTATCATTAATAGAATAATCCTTCCCTCCATAAAAACTAACACTCTCGTCAATTTTTTTACTTTCGCAATGTTTCCCAGGCGCTTAAAGGACCCCAAAACAGGTAACTTTCTATGTGTAATCAAACTTGCTCACCAAGTATTCGATAAAATGTCTCACAAAGAAACTCTCCTTAAATTATTCTTTAATTCTATTTATATTCTAATTTTCCAATGCAGGTTTTCATATGTTGAGTTCAATGCAAGCAAAAAAATACATGAATAAAATCGGGGTAGAAAGTGAAGACTACTACTTCTATAAACAAATTGGAAAGGCCTTACTTTGCACATACACCATACTTGGTGCTTTATGGATTTACAATGACACTTCTTCACCAATGGAGTGGTGGAGGAAGAAGTCGCCGCAGCTAAAGGAGAAGCTTGAGCAAGCAAATTTGTACCCTAGTAATGTAGAATCAGTGAAGGAGTTCATGGACAAAGGAAAGATGATTGGAGCCACCCTAAAAGGGTTGATTGAAAGTGATAAGGATGCGTGTGGATGCGAGAAGGAGATGCAAGGAAAGAAGGGTAATGAAGAAGCTCAGAAGATGTGGTCGAAGATGAAGAATGAGGTTGTTGCCGAGCTTCGAGAGAAGGGCATTGATGTGGAATGACTGTATAGTGAATTCAAGTTTCACTCCTATGGTTCTTGAACTGATTTCTGGTTAAAGTTGTATACTTTATGAAACCTATGAATGCTACATGATAAATAAAGAACTGATAAGAATGTTGGTTAATACTGAAAATGATTATTGACTCTTCACTCTGTTTTTCTTTGTTGATGTGAATGCTCATGTGTTTGTATAAGTAATTTCAATTGCTGGATATTAAGCTTTTTATAGCTTTCTTATTGTCGTTTTTTCATAATTCTAGCAATAGGAGTGGAACAAATTTGTCAATAACTGATGCTCTGTCTATTGATCTTTGTCATTTGTCTCAAAAAAAAAAAAAAACAATTGCTGTTTAGCTTGAATTCTTAATAGCATCAACTTTTAGTTGTTCATGCAAATAGTAACGTGCGATGATCCTAGAACTAATGCACCAAATTTCATCTAAACTCCTAAGTTAAGTCTAATTTAGCGAGAATGATTGATGACTTTCTGATAAGTCTTTATGTTGCATTTCTTTTATCCAAGAGAACTTGGTTGAGATGATAAGGGGTCTTCAAAATAACTGTCCCAAAATAACTGTCATGTTTAGAAAAATTGTTTGTTCCAAAATATCCGTCACTTTTAATTATCAATGCAATTTTAATTTTCTTCTTCCAATATACCATTTAATTAATACTATTAACTTATTGTTTTTCCAATTTACGTTAATGATAATTTGAATACACGATAAAAATAATTTGATAAAATTACTAAATAAGTAGAGATCCTTGTAATTACCATATAAACATACCAGTGAAATTTAATCGGTCGGTGAATAAAGTTCACTAGAGTCAGGACATGCCCCAAGACCCAAAAAGAGATCCGAGCTCACCATAGTAAAGAGATTGTCTCAAGATCCAAAAAGAAATCCGGAATCAAGGCTCATAAAAAGATTCTCACATTGAGGGAAAAGTTGAACCCACAACCTCTTCCGTGTGAGCCAACTACAACAGTTTGGTTATTTGCATGGTTCAGATGTAGTTTTACCTCAATTCAAGTAATTTAATACACATGAAACCGTATCCCAGAGATCTTGCTGATTTGATAATTATGTTCAAATTTTTAAACATTGTGTTACAATCAAGTCGCTCTGAGGTAATTTAATTTACTTGATGAGTTTCGTTTCAACTTAAATAACCTTTCAAAAGATATTGTTTAGCAATCAAGTACTCCCACCGATTAAAGGATCAAGCTTTTTATACCATGTCCGTGTAAAGAAAGACATGAAGGGAAACAAGAACAATCTCCATAAAAAGATCACTGGTGTGGAAGAATCCAATTCAATTTCTTTCCATGGTTCACTGAACAATGGATTTGCGCAATTATAGTGTTTAAGCAAAAGAAGAAAAAAAAACAAATTAAAGTCAACGGATGTTCTTATACATAGAGACACAACATAGTAGAAGGACTAGACAAAAGTGAAAACACATCCACTTTATGAATAGTCAAGTCTCAACTGTACAACGTTAGTATCGGCTAGAAACCTGACACCATCCTGGTCAACATCTGAAGCTGATGATAATGTTTCTTGATGCTGATCAGAAAAACTTGCTATAATAAGATCTTTACTACCAACATAGATATAAAGAGTATATGACTAAATCCAAACATTCACTCTTTTAACTTTGTCAGAATAAGTAAAATGAACCAGATTCAACCAATATGACCGAAATTTTAGTCATTATTTGATGAAACCTGAACAATTTTTTAAAACCTAACCTGCATATTTTGCATTAAAACTAGTAAAATCTAGTGTTATAGATCAGGTTACTCTTAGCATTGTTACAATCAGAAATTTATTATGCCAATAATATTGTGGTATCAATGTTCTATTCTGCTACAAACATATATTGTGAACAATTGCAACCAAAAATTTAACAAGGTGATGAACTTTATCTAATGGAGAGAAACAACAACACTATATATAATTTTTCCAACCAAAAGTTACAGCTTTACAACAAACTTCTTGCTGATGGATTCAAATCCTGCTACTCTTTCCAGACCTGCTTCGCCTATAGCTCTTCAACGGTGTCAAATAGAATCTTAACAAGCCAGTGTCAACATTACTTGACAAATACCTAACACTTCGATTCCTTTGAAGCGTAAGCTCTTGTCTTCCATTCAAAACATTTCCTTTGGTTTCAGGACCTCCAAGGCCATTGACTAAACCCGACATTCTACTATGATTTCTACAGCTAACACTATAGCTACGAATAAGCTTCTCACTAACCGATTCGCTCCCTTGTCCATTAACAACCCTCCTAAGCTTCTGCCAAGACTCGGCAATTGGCTTATTAACAACATCACCAGAAGCACAATCTTCCTCGCCCAACTTATCTTCCTTTCTCCTCTGTACTAATCCCAATTTATTCCATAACTTGCCCCATTTGTGAAACTTGTTCGGTCCCTTTTGATCACCTCCGATGCAAGCTTCCTTTGAAGAAGACCCTGTTGTACAATCAGAATGAACACTAACATTATTCCTAGGATTCAATTTAGCACCCTTCAAATCTTCTTCAGTGATCAAGACCTTTGCTCCGTAGAACAACTCGGTCGTGGCTGGTGAAACCTTCGCATTAGATATCACTCTCAACTCATCAACATCTCCAATCACCATCGATTTCCTACGAGAATTTGACCTATCAAAACTTCTCCTTCTCCTATCCGAATAATAATGCTTTGTCTCATCTGAACCACCAGGATAATGCTCTCCACCACTTTCCAAATTCACCACTTCTTCTTCTTCTCCTTCTTCTTCTTCCTCAACCAAAACCCTATCACCATTAATAGCAACCATTGGAGAAAACCTCGAACACGCTTTTCCAATCAAATAACCATCCCAAGAAGCTCGAGGTGCATCGAACGAAAACCTCGAATCATCCACAGATAACCTAGGATCAGTATCACACGATCTTCTTCCCAATGATAAACCATACTCTCCAACCTCCGATTGCGTCTCTCTAAAATTCCTTCTCCTATCCTTCCAACCTCCATACTAGTCAAACCAACA